TCTTTATGAATGAGTCACTGAATCATTGACTCACTTGATTCATTCAGACAGCTTATTCATTCAGAAATAAAGCAAGTGACTCTTTATGAATTAATCAATGAATCACTGAGTCACATGATTTGTTCAAATGCCCGATTTATTCAGAAACTAAGCAAGTACCTGTCTTGAACTAGTCGCTAAATCATTGATTCACTCGATTCATTCAAATGGCTAAATCATTGAGAAACTGAGCAAGTGACAATCTTTATGAATGAGTCACTGAATCATTGACTCACTTGATTCATTCAGACAGCTTATTCATTCGGAAATAAAGCAAGTGACTCTTTATGAATTAATCAATGAATCACTGAGTCACATGATTTGTTCAAATGCCCGATTTATTCAGAAACTAAGCAAGTACCTGTCTTGAACTAGTCGCTAAATCATTGATTCACTCGATTCATTCAAATGGCTAAATCATTGAGAAACTGAGCAAGTGACAATCTTTATGAATGAGTCACTGAATCATTGACTCACTTGATTCATTCAGACAGCTTATTCATTCGGAAATGAAGCAAGTGATTCTTTATGAATGAGTCGTTGAATCACTGACTCGCTTAATTTATTCAAACTGCTAAATCATTTAGAAACTGAGCAAGTGACTGTCTTTATGAATGAGTCACTGAATCATTGACTCACTTGATTCATTCAGACAGCTTATTCATTCAGAAATAAAGCAAGTGACTCTTTATGAATTAATCAATGAATCACTGAGTCACATGATTTGTTCAAATGCCCGATTTATTCAGAAACTAAGCAAGTACCTGTCTTGAACTAGTCACTAAATCATTGATTCACTCGATTTGTTCAAATATGTGGATTCATTCACTAATGAATCACCACTGTGTTGATCAGAGATGCTCAACAGTTCTGCTGTGTGTGTGTGTGTGTGTGTGTGTGTGTGTGTGTGTGTGAGTGTGTGTGAACAGAACTTCTGCAGTTGTGTGTGTGTGTGTGTGTGTGTGTGTGTGTGTGTCAACAGAACTTCTGCAGTCGTGCGGCTCTTGAGGCTCAGGGTTCGTGTCTCAACAACAAATACTCTGAAGGATACCCAGGAAAAAGGTGTGTGTGTGTGTATTTTTTGTTTATTCATTTATTCAAAAATGCATTTAAAAACACCATTTCATAGTTTTTGAGTAAAATGGATTTTAGTTACTTTAAATCCAGCTGAAGAGTCTGTACACTCTTAAAAATAAAGGTTATTTATTGGCATGAATGAATTCTATGAAGAACCTTGAACATCCATTAAAGAAAAGGTTCTTTAGATTTTTAAAATGTTCTTCAAAACGGTTCTTTTAGGAATTGTTCACTGAAAGGTTCTTTTGGGAACCAAAAATGGTTCTTCTGCAAAAACACCATTTTGGAACCTTTATTTTTAAGAGTGTATAAAACACTGTGGCAGAAATCACACATTCACATGCTGAAAAATGATGTTCCTCATGCTTCAGTTTTTGCTGGAAATGGTGAAGTGATTTTTATATGAAGCCATCGTGAATCCTGATTGAGGATTGGAGATTAAGATTTAGATGTTCAGGAACCAAAACAAATGTTTTACACATTTTTAAAAGGATTTTCATGAGGAAAATAATTTATTTTGCAAATCCTTATTTAATTATTTATTAATTCATTCATTTATTATTTTCTTCTTTTTTATTTTTGTTTAGTTTTATTTGTACTTTTTAGAATTTTTTTGTATTTACATTTTTGTTTTTAATTTATCTATTTTATTTATTTGTATTTATTTGTATGTATTCATTTGTTCAGTCATTCAATTTTGTTTTTTAATTTATCTTTTATTTCTTTTATTTGTATTTATTGTTATTTTTATCATTTTATGTACTTTTACTTATTTATTAATAATTTGTTTTTTATATATTTTTTTCACTTTATTTCTATTTAATTTGTCTGTTGTATGTATTATTTTTATTTGTATTTATTGTTATTTTTATAATTTTGTTTACTTATTCTACTTATTTATAATTCATTTGTTTTTTTATATTTTTGTTTACTTTTTTTTTATTGTATGTATTTTTATCTGTATGTATTGCTATTTTTGTCATTTTATTTACTTATTTATAATTAATTTTTTTATATTTTGTTAACTATTTTTATTTAATTTGTCTATTGTATGTATTATTTTTATTTATTTATATGTATTGTTATTTTTATCATTTTATTTACTACTTTTACTTATTTATTTATAATTCAATTGTTTTTTTATATTTTGTTAACGTCTTTATTTTTAATTTGTCTATTTTATGTATTATTTTTATTTGTATGTTTTAATGTATTTATGTATTTTTGCTGGTTATGAGACTGATGGTTGGTAAGTTGATTGGATCACAGTAGTCTGATGCAGTTCTTTTATTTTTTTGCG